ACTGGAAGGCCGCAATAAGATCTCCCCGGAGCCTTCTCTTCTCCAGGCTGAACAGCCCCAGCTCTCTCAGCCTCTCCTCATAGGAGAGGTGCTCCAGCCCTCGGATCATCCTCGTGGCTCTCCTCTGGACCTGCTCCAGCAGATTTATGCCCTTCTTATGTTGGGGGCTCCAGAGCTGGATGCAGTACTCCAGGTGGGGTCTCACGAGAGTGGAGTAGAGGGGCAGACAAAAGCATTCCTAAACACTATTTTTAAACTCCTCAATAATTTGCCAGTTAAAAATAGCTCAGTAATTTGAGGGGAGGGTTTTTTTCAGCAAAGCTGAGCTCCTCTGCTTGTTAGCCTTGAGCAAATCTCTGCTTGCCTCAGTTTTCCTCATAGGCATAAGGAGCTTAATAACCACCTCAGAGCTCTTTGAGATCCACTAATGGAAAGCTTTTTGTAAGACTGAAGTGCTGTAATTATTATTGCTATTATTATTGTACCTGTTCTGTATGTTTTAAAGCTTAGGGTGATGTTCACACCTAAATAAGGCTCCATGTCTCCTCATTGCAAAGACACTGATGACTCCAGAGGGTAATTCAGCCCACCAGAATTAGGCTTTTAATTTTGAAATTATTTCAATTGGGATAGTCCTCTGGAGATTTCAGTCTTTTTCCACTACTTGTAAAGCAAAATACAGCAAAATTTAAATCCCATCCCTAAGGCTGGAATTCATTTTGGTGAACTTCAGCGGGGTAAAAGTTAGGTGCCTTGTCTAAGGTGGTTGTCTCACCTCTTGCTGTTTGCTGGGGAAGGAGGGGAGATGATAATGCTCCAGGTTCTGAAGTTCCTCTTTTTGGCTACGGTGGGAGAGACTTCAGGTGATAATCTTGGCCCTACATGCCTAAATTTAAGAAAGCTAAAGAGAAATAATGACTTAAAGGACTAAATTCTTCATCCAGGTTCTGCTATCTAATATCTTTTGTTTCCTATGATAAAATACTGTTTCCTATGATAAAAGCTGTTGCAGTCCAAAGGTATGGTGCTTCTTATAGGATCACTGCTTTAGCCTCCAGCTGAAATTTTATGGTTGATTCCCCCCTTTTTGCTCGTGCTGCCATTATAATGAATTAAGGAATAAGAGGAGTGTGGATCTTGCAACGCAGTTTAGACCACTGAATGTTGAGATGTGGCTCCGTGAAAAGCATGGGAGAGGCTAGCAGATAAATTACTGAATTTTCTACATTGCAAGCTTAAAATGAAATTTGATACGTATAGACCTGGATTTTTGTGTATGTGGCTTCTGACTCAGTTGTCCCGAACAAAATTAGTTTTGATGAGCTGTGTAAATTAAGGGAGAATCGGACACTTGGAAACGCTGCCCCCATGATGACCTCTGCCTCTTAATTCTTTAAAAAAAATAAAAAAGCAGTCTCTCCTTCCCCCCATTAACATTAAATGTCAACAGCTGTATTTTGCTGCTGGTGCTTATTAACTTTCAGCCTTGTCTTTTTCAAGCTTTTATTGCTTTAGAAATGAATTAAAGCTTATCACCAGGGAAATGTAAGTCTTCCAGCTACCTTGGCTTCTCAAAAGATGTGATTTTTTTTCCTACATAGATTGTTTAAACTCCTAATTGTACTACATTAAATTTTGATTCTGGCATGGTTTGTTTTGGTGTCTGTTTTTTTAGCTGTTGAAATCCTGTTACAGTCAGTAATTCCGAGTGGCTCTATTGTAAAGAAAAGATGATAAGTTACAACTATGGTTGTAATTAATCCTTTTACCTTTTCAACCTGAAAGCATTTTTTTCAGTCCTTATTTCTTGGTACCACACATTTACTTTGCATCACATCATCTGATGATCACATAGTTGGCCAGGGAAGTATTATTTATTTCCAAATTTAACCCCTACTGTCCCATCTTTGTAGCACTGAAAAGGAAACAGGCTTTAGGGAATTATGAATTTTTAGAGGATTTTTTTATATATGTCTTCACTGCAACTTTTATCTAGTTGTAGTTGTCTACAACTTATATAGAGAGGTTTGGGGTGTTTTGTTTTGTTGGGTTTTTTTTAAACACACATAGGCATTTACTGCTTATTTCTTTTTTTATATGTGCTGGGAATCCTAGGATTTGTTGCAGCATCATGGCCATTACCTTGGCCTCGTTGGTCATTTACTGGTGATAGGTATGGATAACCCTGGTGTCAGGGGCCTTTCATTTCCAAATCTGATCCTGAGAGGCAAGGCCGAGAAAAGCAAAAATAGATCTCTGCTGTGATTGTTTTGTAAATAGGCAGCTTGTTTTTTCCAGACTGTTAAATTAGTGGCTATTATACTGACAAATATAATTAAAGTGTGTAGATTATATTGAAAATATTTTTGTCTGTTTGATGTATACTAAATTTAAGCTAAGTTATAAGGTGTGCTGTTTGGAAGTGTGGAAGATACAAGAGTGGAGCTACAGATAACAAGTTTATGCTTGTATTTCCTACTGATGAAGACTTTCATACAAGTTATTTCTATGGGTAGGTGATGAGAATATCACTCTGCATGTATATACATTTATTATACATTTTTGCATGATTATACATGTAGGAGTGGTACAATTTTGACTTGAGACTTGGTGCCTTTTGTCCAAATATAATTTTACTTCTGTAGACACATCTATCTAAAATAAAATTTGCTTCTGCTTTTGGAGACCTTAGTAAGAAGCGAGAGAAACAAAGACCTGAAGGACCAGTACATAGCTCCTGAAATTTTAGATAACCTATCGAAAAAATGGTCAAATAGTCAATATTGTACTTGACCCTCGTATCTTCTGCACTCCACTGTTTATTTTTATAGATCACATTATATATGTTCACACTGAACTCTGATGATAAGACTGAAAGAAAACATGCCTCTCGTGATTCAGTCCAGTTGTAACTTCTGCATGTAATTTAATCATTGGCTTTCACAAATAATTAACTGAACATCAGCCAGCTTAATTTTGAACTTGGTATTCCATTATTTTGTAATTGCCTTTTAAAAAGACAAAGATTGCCTTTCAGTTAATTATCAGGACTTCTTTTCCAGTCGTAATCATCAGCGTTTCATGTTGCGAACAGTTTGGAACTGTTGCGAACATCGGCATTTAACTATCCATTTTTTTTTTGTTGGGTCTGTTTTAAGTTTGTAATATAACATTGTTTTATGAAATTGTTGTTTTGGAGGCAGGTGTGATTTGAAATATTTTGTGAATTTCTTCATACATTGTTGCAAAACTGATCTTTAGTACGACTTAAGCAATATGGTCACTCTTTAATGAAGTGTGTTGCTAATCACAAAATAGGCATTTCTTAAAAAAGTGGGTTGAATTCTGTTTCAGACACCAAGTTACAAAAAAACCAAACAAAAAACCAAAAACCAAACCCAAAACTAAAAAACACCCTAAAAACCTCAGTAGAAACAGCTTTTCAGAGAACTAAATTTGAAACTTAGTTCATGTTTGTTCTCTCTTCAACAGCCACTTAACACTCCTAAAAGAAGCCAATCATCTTTCCTGAAAAGTATTTTCATTTAATTCTTTGTGACTTCTAAAGATTTCTTCAGTCATTTTGTAATTCTGAAGGTCCTATCTTCCTAAACACATTATTACTTTATCATTATTTTATATTATCCCACAGAAATTATACCCTCTTTGTATCATACCCATAACAAAAATATCCTGCAGACATTCAGCTGTCAGAACTTCCTTGGAGTTAAAAAAAATGCAGCTGAGCTTTAGCCCAACCTGTTTTTCTATTTCATGCTTGGTTTTGTGGATGAAGTCTTGACCCAAACTAAGTTTTGATTCTGCCATTTGGGGAGTGGGAACTCCAACTGCTTTCATCCACTCTGAGTTGATAAGCTATAGCTGAGACGATGCATTTGAGTTAAAACATGCATCCTTTCAGGATTACAATATTTATCCATTCTCTCTTTGTTTCCACATTAATCCTTGTCTTGAATATGACCTTTTTCCAAGCCTTTTCTGTTTCTAACATGCTTTCCAATTATAAGTGATTTTCATTCCTCACAAAGAAAATAGTCCATCCTAACTAAATAGACCGAAAATAGCTTTTTGTTTATTCTTGAGAATAGATTTTGGAATCACGTAAGCAATTTTCTCTCCATCTTTCCCCCTTCACTTTGGTAGCCAAAAATGCATATGGTAATCATATTGAATTAAAAGCATATTTATCACTGCACATTATACTTTTGTTTATTGTTGATCTTAAAAAAAAAACACCACCAAAAAACTTTGCCATTTTGAATGATTCCCCTGTCCTTGACAGGTAAATTTTATGTAAGGAACGTTGCCTAATGTTAAATTTATTGTCACTGGATCAGTTATACCAGAAAGTTAGTTTTATTTAATCAACCCTAAAGTAATGTAAGCTGTCACTTGAGTTTTGTAAAATTCTCTAGTTAAATATCTTGTCTTGCCAAGTTTAATGTCCTGTGACTTACTATTTTTTATTTTAAACTGAAGGTTTTATCCTTTTAACATTGTAAATATAACGTTGTCAGATATGGAGATGTTTATGTGTTAATGTAAAAGACAGTACACAAGTAACTGATACACTGATAAACATGTTTTTCTTACATTTGTGTGTTCTGTGTATGCAAGGGTTAAAATGTCTCTGTAATCTCAGACAATGTTCATTAACTCAAGTGTAATAATTCATGTAATTTATAGTTCTTTAAGAGCTTCATGTAGGAGATTGCATTAATCCTTAAACAAATTGTTCATACTTCTAAAGGTGTCTTTCACAGTGTGCTGACTTCTAATACGTGTTGCTTTTCTCTCCTTCTGCAGGTGGACCTCCAGTTGTAGCTCATTATGATATCTCGGACACAAATTCAGATCCAGAAGTGGTAAATGTGGACAATCTGTTGGCGGCTGCAGTAGTTCAAGAGCACAATAATTCTTTAGGAAATCAAGACTCAGGATCTACCTGGAGAACCGGAAGGCTGCTAGATGAACTGAGTGCTAATACAGGTTTGTTTAAATTCTCTTCCTCCGACATTCATTCCAGCATCTCAGTTGATGTCTCTCCCTTTCTTGCTTTCAGTGCTTTTGTAGCTTATACAGCTTTAAAAGCTCCCTGTGTGGATTTTGCAATAAAACAGTACAGATGCTTTTGAGAAAGGTCTGACATTTATTCCAAAATACAACTGATAGAAGTTGACAGATTCCTGCAATGTATTTTTGACACTAATTTTCTTAATTCTTTTTTCTCCTTCTTGTCCCTCTAATTAATTACTTCTTTGAACTTAGGTCTGGGGTTTTGGTGGTGGTGTTTTGTGTTTTTTGGTTTTTTTTTTTTTTATATGAAAGTGAGCTAAGCTTGTTACTGTTGATTATGACGACCCATGCCACCAGCTAGTACCAATCATAATCTCATTTTAAGTATTGTAATTGTCTGTGTATATCTTTTTTGTTTGTCTCTTTATTTCTTTAAAACACAAGCATTAATTATTCCCATATTCCATCTGCATTTCTAACATACCTTAGAAAATTGGACAGAGCAGCAGCAGATAAAGATGAAAGGTGAAAAGGTGCTGGTAAGTGGGCTTAGCATCAAGAGATGGCAAAGAAATTTCCTTCAAGAAAGCAAGAGCAGGAATATTGTCAAAGAATTCAGAGAAGTTCATGTAGCTCATAAAAATTGTTCAGCTTCACCAAATGCTTGCAATTCTTCACTAACAAAAGAGTTAAACAACAATGTGAAATGTGACTGTGTTTTGGATGCAGGGAGCTAACGGAATATTTCCTATCGACTTCATCCCATAGCCTTGCATGCCAATATATCGCCTTCCTTTCCACTCATCTTTTTTTAATAGCCATGTTAAGATTTTTAGCTGCATAAGACAGAGTCTTGCCTGCAGTGGTAGAGCACAGAAGGTTTTTGTTTCATGCTGTGTTTTCCAAACATAAGCCTGCCAAAGGGCACCTCTGTTGGAGGTGTCCTTGTAGCTCTGAGCCACTTCTCAATGTATAGAAGACTTAAAGAAATACAAGTATGTGGCAGATTTTGGAAGAAATGTTCCACTATTATATAGTGGACAAGATGAATATGAGAATCTCTGTTGCATTATTTTCACTGTGGTCTGTGGCTGGATGTTGTTCCAGCCTTTTTGAAGCTAGCCAGTGTTTTCCAAGCTCACTGGTATTGTTTGCAGGATAGCAGCCGATAGCTATTTGACCCCTAACAAGCCCGCTCCTTTATAAAGTGATTTATTAAATGATTAGAACAGCTGAAATTAACTTTATTATATAGCACTAATAGATTGGTAGTTCAAAGGAGTGTAAGGAAATAAAAAGTAATGTTTCTTACCAACCTTTCTTCCACTTTCCGCTTACGAGTACAATGCTGTGATGCAGATAGAAATTTGTCTTCCTTCCTCCACCTATATCCAAGGGGACTTGCAAGGAAGAGATTACCAGGTAAAAGAAAACTAGAAATCTTCAAGAAACTTCTTCATCCCTGACCCTATGGGAACGTGTCCAAACAAATTTGCTCCTGGTGCTACAGCCATTTCAATGTCTGAAAGGACGAATGTCTTTCTTCCTGCGTATATCTTGCCCCAGAGCCCTGTAGCCTCCGTACGCCTCTGACTGCACATTTGTCAGTACTGGCCTTTTCTTACTGTGTCTAGGATTGCACATTTGGAAAGCAGAGTTTTCAAATCATACATCTTGTTCCCAAATTTAATCTTCAGCCAGTATCTAGTTTAAAAGACCTTAAATGATGTGTTCCCATGGGAAAATAACATCATCAGCTTTTATCTAAGTGAAAAAACTCATTAGGACACACTATCATGTCTTTGTGCATGGGCAAATATTTGGGGCTGTTTTGCAAGCCCTGATGTTGTAGGGCAAACAAAACATCTCCTTTGGGCATCATCCTAACGTTTGTGCAAAGAAATTAACAGTGTAGGCATGTTATTAGGCATGAAATTTGTATGGCCAGAGGCTGTAAATCTATCTGTATGCTATAGTCCCGATTTACACTCAGCTACTGTTGCAATATTTACTCTGCTAATCATGGTTTCTCTACTGCTGATTACCTTTTTGTTGTCTGAACTTAAAGTTATGGTAATAATGCTACTTTTTTGGGGCTCTCATTTATGCATCTGGACATTCATTTTGGGGCTATTTAAGAGTGCTTTGCCCTTCTGCCAGACATTACCCTGTCTAGCAAAGGGTGCAGAATGGTGGTTGCTCCAGGGTAGGTTTAGATTGGATATTAGGAAAAATTTCTTCACCCAAAGGGTTGTCAAGCATTGGAGCAGGCTGCCCAGGGAAGTGGTGGAATCGCCATCCCTGGAGGTATTTAAAAGATGGGTAGACGTGGTGCTGAGTGACATGGTTTAGTGGTGGTTTTGGCAGTGTTAGGTTGACAGTTGGACTCAGTGATCTTAAAGGTCCTTTCCAACCTAGACAATTCTATGATTCTACATCATTAATACAACATATTAAGGCAGGTTGATATCCATACCAGTTTGCATGAATCAATGACTGTGTTACTCTTCTGCTGCCTGTGCTGTAGCAGCAGTGACGTTCAGGAGCGGGGCGATGCCTATCACTGGGGCAGTGATCAAGTAAAGCTCCCAGTTTGCATCGCCAGCACGTGAATCAAAGCCTCTGAATGCTTCCATTTCATGTTTCACAGTGTGCCGAGCCACTTCTATTAAAGAAATATCCATGACCCATTTGGGGACTTTCTGACAGTCAGTGATATTTGCCAAGAAATGTTCAGCTGAACTGTAATGTTAGGAAAAGTCTGCCTGGGCTATTGATTTGTTTTAAGTTCAACTGACAAATCTTTTTTTGTCTTTTGAGGTGGAAACTCCTCCTTCAGGTACATGGCAGCACGCAGGTTTCCTTCCCTTGATAACCCTGATCAGATGTTGTACCAAGGGTTTTCACTTTCCAATAACTGAAAATACAGTGTGGTCTCTATTTGCTTGCATCTTTTCCAAGTACTTTAAGCAGTTTTTAGAAGGTTTCCCTGGCACTTTTAAGTTTAATTTCTTTTCTCTATGTCCTCTTGATCTACCTGGGGGTATAATCAGTTCTGCATGTTTGCATGCCTTTGAAATTCTGTGGATCATTATTGCATCCTCCTCCTCTCATCTTTGAAGAGGTGTCCAGTCAAACTAGATATACATAATATATTCATCTAATCTCAAATTTCCTGCTTGACTAATGATTCTTCCCCTCTAATACAGCTGAGTGAGTTTCTGAAAAGCGGGTTGTCTCATCTGCTTCAGGGCTGCCCAGCATCCACCAGGTTACTGCTAGAGACAGTAGAAGTAATCTTTTTTTTTGGGGGGGGGGGCACACAAAGTAGAAGTTATCATTTTTTTTATTGAAATCTTTTTTTTTTTAACTGAATTTTTTTGTAATTTATTTTCTGTAAAACAAATCATCATTTTGGCTGGTTTGAGTTGTCCGTGCAAATATTATTTAATATGTCACAACACAGCTTCACTAATTGTGGTGAAGGACCATCTTTGCAGAAAAGGCAAAACCTGCCACCCTTGTTGTGAATCTTTAGAGAGGACTTGTTTGACAGACCGATGAACTGAGGAACTGTAATGAAAAAACAATGCTGATGTATATGGTACTTATGAAAAACGGTTATTTTTTTTTCCCCAAGTATTTGTAATAATGTTAGAGCAGATGTGTGAAGCAGTGAGACCAGAAACTGATATATCTGTTGGGTTTTTTTCATTGACCACCTCCCTATTTTTTTTTTTTTTAAAAAAGAAAATAAATTCATTTCCCTTGGTATGTGTGATGTTTCTGTCCAGCCTAAAGGCTTTGTTTGCCACAGTATCATTGAGTTTGATTTACTGACAATATATTGTCTTGTTTCTTTATTTCAAAGAGGTTTAGGCACAGTCTCTTAGCATTGTTATAAAATAACAACTGGAAACCCTAATTACATCAAGTATTCTTGATGCAGTAGTTGGACTTTGTTCGCATTTGTGTGATAACACCATCACTAGAGCTATTGAGACTGAATAAATCCAGTGATCATCCTGTATCGAGTGATGAACTGAAAATTGGATACCTTGATTTAATATGATTTTCCGATCTCAGCGTTCCAATCTCTTTTTGTTAGCTCGGTAAATGCCTTTTCCAGTTGATTTCTGAGTTGTGTAAGCTGTTGAACATTGCCTGTATTTGCATTTTCCCCATCTGTAGGTCATTTGGATCCAGGCTTCCTTGCAAGTGACAAAACGTCTCCTGGTAATGCACAGATCAATGAAGAAATTAATATCGCCTCTTCTGATAGCGAAGTAGAGATTGTTGGAGTTCAGAAACATGCCAGGTATGAATTCCTTTTTCTTGCTCTACTATTTATTTCATTTTATCAGAATGTCTGTATTGCCAAAATTAATAAATTAAAAAACCTACTGACTTCCACTTCTGTAGTTATCCATCCATGACTGGTAGCAAACGTTGCACTTGGTTTTTTTAGTCTGCTGGTCACAGTGATATCAGAATGTGTTTTGTTTGGCTTTTTTAGAACGTTACCAACTTGATAATTATTCAGATTAAATTTGTGATTCAACATCAAACATTAACAGGCTAAACAATATGTAGTATTAAAATTCCAAATATTGAGATACCAAATTTATATACATCAGGAACCATTGTTAGGAATTCAGATTTTAAGGACGTAGTGTGATTATGCAAATGCATAAACAAAAATATTTGTGTGGGTTCTTGTTTCCTTTCAAAATATTAACTTACTTTAAGCATTTAATCAGCTTCCAGTTTGTTTAATTAATCAGTAGTTGTAAAAATGCTATCAACTTTTCAATGGCTGATGTCATAAGATAGTCCCTTTAGATTAAAAATAGGATCCTTATGAATCTTGGTTTTTTTCAAGATACAAGAGAGTTCAAACCCCCAAAGAAGATGAGAGTAAGGAAGCCAGAGGTTTCTCTTGAGCTCAGATAGAAAGCTGTCCAGCTGTGTTTCAGCTGTTATTCTTGATAGGCATTTTTTGATGTTACTTTTCATCTTTAAGCCAAGGAAAGAACATAAACTAAGGTATTATGAAGCAGTTGAACAAGACTGGCATTTTCATATAGTGAAGAGGGTTAATTTGCTGGAACAAAACCAAGTTAAAATAGTATACAGACAAGCTCTTTTTAAAACTAGTCTGCTGCCTGGAGGATGCTTGGAGGCAGAAAATGGGCGTGAAGGACAAGGAACAAGAGCTGGTTTTTGTTGTCCCTTCACCGCATCTTCCTTGAGGAAGAAGGAGGGTGTGCAGGACCCAATTTCCCAGGCATGGACCTGTACAGATAGTGTGGGCACAGTCCAGTGCGGTTGGACGGGGAAAAAAGGAAATTTTAAGGTGCTGAAGGAAGAGAGAGTTAGTCTCCGCTTTTAGAATAGTGAAAGTCCTTGCATGGCTGACTTTTGGAAGATACTAATTCCTTAGGAAGTAGCTCTCCTGGCTGTTTATCCAGCAGACCCAGGCCTTGGAGGATCTTTGTCCTAATGATAAGCAGCGTGAACTTGTTCTCCGATACTAATTTGTGTAAATCTGTCTAGCACTGTGTACACACAACCCTTCTTCTTGAGGTCCCCTGTTCAAAAGCTTTCGGAGCTGCTTGCCTCGATAATATTTACCATGTACAAGAATGGAAATGTTAAGTAAATGCAGAGTTGCTCTTTAAAATCAGTTTTAGTAGATGCCGACCAACATAGTTTCAGCAAAGACAGACATAAAGCACACTTTTGTGCTTTCCTTTGTTCATGTAACCATCTCCCAAAGACAAGTTCTTACTGGCTCCATTGAATACTTGCACATTTCAGTTGTTCGAATCTTATTGAGAATTTTATTTCTCTTGCAGGTCTAGGCTTGCAGTTATGAAGTGTTGATGGGCTTCTGACAGTTATTTTGCTCACACTGTTTTTTATTGTGCTGCATATTCCATGTCATTGTTGGACTGGCGTGAGTTGTGAAACCCTAGAGTTTGTCCATCACCTGTAGTTTTCCAGATTGCTAGTGAATTGGTGGTGTTGCTCATCATTGCAATATTACTTGCCATCTCTTTAGGACACCAAGTCATTTTTTTTCATTTTGTTTAATTTTTGTCCAACAGATATTTTTTATTTTTTTTTAATCATGGATGTGAATAAAACAGTCTTCCTCTGTTTTTTCCTAGGTTTTCTCCCCCCCCCCCCCTTCTTTTTTGGTATTTTTTGGCCTTTACTTGGTATATTCCCTTAGCTACAGATTGGAAAGCATGTTACCTAAGCTAATGTTTGATTGAACATTTTGCTATTGGCTGCCTGTGTGACTTGTTTGAGGATAAACGCTTTTATTTTTTCAAGGTATCATTTCTGTGAGATAATTTATAGCTTGCTTTTTGTCATCTTTAGGGAGAAAAGTTAATATTAGCTTTGCCTGAGCATTGAGCTCAGGCATATATCAGAATGATGGACCATAGTCCCTGAGACCAAACATCGTATTTAGTTTGCTTTTGCTACAGTCTTTTCTTGTCAGTTATACTTAAAAATATTTCTTCTTAAAAGAAAGTTAAAAAAAAATCCCCTATTTTTGTTAGAGTTCTAGTCTTATTACTAAGTCTTTGTAGATACGTACTTTAAGCGTGTACTTTTAAGACTGAAGTAATAAAAAAGTCATTCTGAACATCACATCCAAAACTAAATAGCGTATCTGAGAAGGAAATGAGACATACATATTCAGAGAAGTTAGAGCTCGGAGAATGAGATTTTTCATTCTATTTCATTAAACTCTATCTCTAACCAGAGCCAAGAGAGATGAGCATAACCTAAGTAGTTCTGGAGAAAACAAATTGCATTACCTTAAATTAAAACAAATAAAATGTAAATGTCAGGGATATTTGACCAGTGCAGAAAACCTGGGTTCCTGAAATAAGGTACATGTGCTTTCACAAAGAAACGGGAAAAGGTTCCCCCAGCAGCCAAACACCTCCTGCTTGAGTGTGCAGCTGGGACCACCAGTGCTTACAAGAGCAAAACAATTTTTGGAGCATGAGGTATAAAGTTTTACTAGTGCTCACTTAAGATTTACAGCTGGGAATGGAGTGACCATCTTAAAGACTCCAGTAAATTCCTGTCATCACTTCATCATATAACAAAATTAGTCTGTCTTTCATTTGGAGTTTTTACTAATTACTATTAGCTTGTACTTCAATTGTCATGTAACTATTATGAGTATAATAGGTAAAAATACTGTGCAAATAAGTAGATCTGTACCTCGCTTCAGCAAGGTGTGTGCTTATCTTTAAATACATGATTTAGTCTCATTGACTATAATCATTGAAAGCTTAAATGTGTTGCTGAAGTGGGGCTGTACTGTTATCAATGAGCATTTCCCAGCATGTTTGTAATTTTTAGTATTTTTCGTTAAGAAGTTAAGACGACCAAAGAAAAACCAAGTGTAATGACTGTAATAATGTAATTACAAGCTGTCTCTTGTAATTATTGTAATGAAAGTATTGTTATGTCTTTATTTTAACATGGTTTTGATTTCATATGGAAAGATAGCTTTTCTCTTTGTCTCGTCAAGCCTCACTTAAAATTTTTCTCTTTTTAAAAGTCTAGTGGGTAAAACCACTAGCAGGAAGCTATGCTTCTGAATAATGCATAGTACTACACATGATGGGGCAGACTCCTTCAAGATCCTTGGGATCCATGCACATATTTTGTAAGGAATATCACTTTGCACCCACTGGCAGAATTCAGTTCTTAAAAATAATTTAATCACCACCACCACCCCTGAGTTTAGTCTCAGCTTTGTTACTGGGTATTTAAGATGTCATGGACTCTACAAATGGAAAATCCATGAGGACATTTTGGAGAGGGACGTGTTAACAAGATGCCTAAGTGATAAACCACTGCAGCTAAGAATCTTGTGCCTGAATTCAACAGTAGCTTTAATCCTTTCTGTTTTTTTTGCCTTGCTACAGGTGTGTGCATCCCAGGGGAGGTGTGATTCAGAGTGTGTCTTCCTGGAAGCATGGCTCAGGCTCACGGTACATTAACACTCAGCGAGCACAATCATGGACAGCTGTGACTCCCCAGCAGAATTGGTCTTCGCCCCCAGAAGTAGTAGACCTCACTTTGGATGAGGATACCAGACGCAAATATCTACTGTAATGCAGTGTCACTGTGTTTCTGTCCCCACCCCTTCTCCCCTTTGTGGCACAGAAGTTCATTGTTAAAAGCTTCAGCTTCAGAAGCCCTGTTCCTGGCATTACAAAATTCAAACTCATGATTTTTTTTCATTTCCATAAAAATGTAGTATAATTTCAATATAATTTAAAAATGGTTTTGCCTTCTCAAAGGAGGATTCCTCCCAGAATTAAAAGCCAATAGCTCCAAATTTTAACACACATCTACAGTTACTAACTTGTGTGTGTGTTAATCTGAAGAAATAACTGTGTACAAACTTATGTCCTCCCACCCTTTCCCACCTCCAACTTCAGACCATTTCTAATTTATCACTATATTGAGTTTGTTAGTAGAAGTTAATGTTTTGCTGTGTGAGCATCAGTGATTTTGAGAAATGCTGTGTCCTCACTGATTTCGGTGGAATTGGGGGTATTCAACATTTCTGAAAATTGGGCCAAGAGTATTTATACCCAAGCTGATTTGGTTATGTTACCAGCAGGAGGGACTGTCTTTAATACAAATGGCCCATAACATATGCACTGAACAGCTTTTAATTAAAGTATTTTTATTTTCAATATAATTTATAGTTTACACTCTTTTCAGTGCTGAGTCTTCTGTCTACTTGACTACTGTGTTTCACTGATCATTTCCCACAGCTTGTTACGGTTTAAAATAGTAATAGATAGTAGTCACTTACTCGCAGCTGATTATTGCAAAAGCACAAGAAAAAGTAATAAAAAGGCCCAGCATCCCTCTCCTTTTTAAATATAGCTGAACTTTTTTACCTATATCCGAATCTTGCCTGGAGTAGGAGAAGGAGAGAAAGGAAACATTTTGCTCGTAGTCTTCATTTCTGCTGTTGCAGAAAACTTTGGTTCACTGATCATCTCAAAAAGAAAAAAAACACCAAACCACCTTGCAAAGCACCAGTTGGGCAAAGCACTTTAGCAGCTGTGCAGCGTTCAGCTCGGACGGTTCGCTGAAACTTGTGGGGCCATTTAAGTGCTTAAAACTGTCCTAAAATATGTTGCAGGATCAGGGCTTAAGGTTGTGATATTTTTTTATTTTTTTTTAAACTAGATCTACACCATTTTCCTGGCTTTAGGTCATATCTCATCCTACTTTTGCAATTATTTTTAGGGTATGATCCAGGAAACACTTTCTACCAGAATATTTACCAAAATCAGTGGAACTATTTACTTCAGCAGGCTGTAGTTTCTGTAGTGTATATGGAAATTCCTGCCCCTCATCTGTCATTTTGAGCCTTTCTCAAGGCAAAAACCAAAGATTAGACTTTAACACGATGATATTCACTTTAAATGTCTATTGTGCAATTAAAATATTCCTTTGTATTCAGAATATTTCTAGTGGGAATTTTGTACAGCTCTTATCATCAGATTTCTTTTTCGCCATTTAAGGCTGAACAGGGGGTAGTCAGGACATGGGAAGTTCTGTTTTCTTTTTGTGTTGGCTGGTTTCTAAATTTATTTGGCTTCCAGTAATTTTATCTGTGGGCAAAAAAAAAAAAATAAAATTACCTATGTTGTCATATAACTCAAAGGGGGGAAAAAAAACAACAGCAGCAGTGGTGGTATAGTTAGTAACAAAGCTTTTTTTTAATAAGCAGAATGGTTATGACTGCACTTTAAAGAACAACTAGGTAAGGGATTGATATTCCAATTTCAAGCTTTTTAAAACATTGAACATAAGTGTATTGCATGGCCAGAAAATGTATGTAGTGCTTCTAGTGACCGATTTCTTTCTCTGGGGGTGGGCAGGAGGGAGCGGCGCATGGATGGAGCCCATTCACGTTAGCAGTAGGAAAAAGCCCTGTCCTATTTTGGGGCACTATATCAGTAGTGGCTGTCGATCTTTTCTCCTCGTATTTTAATCATGCAACTCAGCCGTTGTTTTAGTGGGCTAGCACACATGCTGTAAAGGTAACTTTGGAACAGTGATTTAGTGTGGCTGCCTTTTCATAAAGTCTTTTAAAGATCAGTTTTGAAGAAAGCTGCAGGGACCCATTTGTAGTCCTTCCGTGAAAAATGCAAACTAACTCTTTTTTTTTTTTCAGTTTGTATATGATGTGACTTCCATGTATACATAAAAACAATTGCATCCTAACCAAACTTCCTCCAATTGTGCACTGTGTTTGTTTAAACAATTCATGTATTGTAGTCTGATGCAGGTTTTCTTTAAACACTACATTTAAAACACTACATATTTTCTCTTATTCTTAACAAATTTGAAAGGGTAGTGATCTGAAAACTGCAATCATTGGATAGCTAGGAAGTGGGTGTTTGGGGTTTTTTTGTTTGTTTGTTTGTTTGTTTTCTGGGGTTTTTTTTGTTTGTTTTTTAAAGAGAGCAAAAGGTGCCTCGATGGTTTTGCTCTTCTCAGCAGAAAAGAGAAATGTTAGCCGTTGTATGGCTAAGAACCGATGCACTTGGGGCCTGATCCAGAACCCATTGGAGTCAATGCTGGGGCTTTCCATCGACTTCAGTGTGCATTGTCTCAAGCCCTTCATGGTTTAGCAGTTCCTGAATTGCTGGAGTGTGAACTTGGAATCTTCTGTAGTGAAGACAAATCATTGCTTAGAATATAAATGATTAAAACGTGTGACTCTGGTTCAATAATTTGATTCTTCTCGACACTCATTATTTAGTTCTCATTTTCCATCTAGTATTTAATGGTCTTTGGAGAAAAAATAATAATAAAAGAGTGTTATATATATATAATATATATATATATTTTTGGTGCAAGATGAGACCTTCTGTTTTTTGAAACAAGTCTGTAGCATAAAGGTTAAACTATTTTAAGACAAAATAAAATAGAGTGTATTATTTAAACAATATCAGATTGTTTGGGAATTTTTCCCCCCCACCACTTTCATTCAATTTGCTTCTGTTTGTCATATCTCCAAAATAAAGCCTTAAACTCCAGGAATGGGTTACAACTGCCCAAATTCAGCACTGTTCCCTGCATTTAATTTTGAACGTCCAGGATGTAAATGTGATTTCCTGACCATAAAAGCTTACTTTTATCTCCCAGACCAGAGCAGGACCACCGCTTCTCCCTGTAGCGCTGCTGGGGGATGCGCAGGTAGCAGTAACGAGTGGCCACTGCCCATCGTGCTCTGCAGAATCCCTTCTAGAGATGCAATTTCTGTGCAGCCTCCATCTCCCCGTGCACTGCAGTCCTTCGGGTGCCTGAGCAACCTTCATACTGCTATTTCTCCGACTGCATCCCCTTTGTCCCATCCTCACAGCTGTCTTCTGCTGGTCAGGAAGAGCATTTGAGCAATTTGAGCACTCGTATTTTCTCACGTGGCCAGGTAGTGCCGAGAAGCTCAGATCTACTGCCGTTTCAAATGGATGCGTAGACCAGCTGTGAAACTCTGGGCAGGTCCTCGCCAATGACGAGAGGTGGTGCCAGGCTGGACAGCATTTGGAGAACCACTAAATTATACCAGGGAATTTACAGCTGCAAGTAAAGAGAAGGACGGTAAGTACAACTGCACTGTGCTAAACTTAGGGTCCTGCTGCCTGCCAGTCTTCTCATAGCCAATATAGAAATAGGAATAATAACAATAATAATAAAATCCATTACATTTCCAGCTAAATAGGGGAGTTTGCTTCAGTTCTGATGTTCTTATCACGTGAGAAGGCTCTCAGTGTTGTGAATAAGGAGAGCCATTTACCCATGTATTCTAAATGTCAAGATGGACAACAAGAGTGAAGTGAGTTGGCTTTTCAACCCTGCTGAGTTCTTGGCTTTTGAGAAGCTTGAAAATACAAATTCTGGGTCGGGTGGTGGTTGTGGAGGTGGATGCCAGACTCAGATTTTATTTCATGTGTATCACCAGCTGAGGGAGAAAAGCACTGTGGCGTTTGGTGCAGATGTGGGAAGAGGAGAGCTGACCTATCTCCTGAATCTTTTTTTTCTCCATCACCAAGAGATACCCAGAGTCTTTGGACTTCAGGATACACCGAATGGAAAGCTTAAAATTTCTCCTGTGGCAATCAGCACATCACTCATGGCTCGGGGCACTTTATTTTTATGTAGGAGCTACTTGGCTTTGTGGGAATTGTGATTTCTGGGGCAATACGAGAACTGGCAAAAACTACCCAAACAGGTTAGATTTTTGTATTGCTTTCCCCAGTGAATTTGTTGCAATGCAGATTAATTTGATGGCTGAAAATTTAGTTAGTCTGCCTTGAAATGGGGACTGAAAGGGTTTTACTAAATGGATTAGTTCCCCAGTTCCCTGGAGAATCTGTAAATTGTGCCCTTTGCTGAGTCCATTGCCTCCATTTTCTGAAATACTACTTGTTTTTCCCTCTCCTTTTTAGGCTCATCATCTGTGACTGTCAGCTGCTGTGGTTTTCTCTCCAGACCATCACAGGGATGCAGTTTCCCTTCTGTCTGCGAAGGAAAGGAGCAACACATCTGCAAAGTGCAAACTTGTGACGGACAAACCCTGCATTTATTTTCATCTTTGGTGCAAATAAGGTGAACGCCTTCCTTTTATTGAAACTAAACAGCAACTGAGGATCCAACACCCCCCCAGGTCTATATCTCAATACCAGAGAGTTTTTGAAAGTATAAATGCGTTCCTGAGAGTCCTTAGGGCTATTGATTCATAAATGCCCCTTGGAAGTTTTTTTCTTGGAGCTGGTTAGTCATCTGGATTTGTAATTCAGTTTAAAATTAGAATTGAGTGCCAGGTACTGGGAAGGAAGGATCTTTCAGACAGTAAATCTCAGGGCAAAGATGGAGTGGACGGGGAAAACTGTCTGGAAGTTTAATTTCAGATAATTTTCTACATTTATTAGCTGTGTAGGCAGCTTTCGGTGAATCCAGGGCAACCACATCAGAGCTGGAAAAAGAAACGAGTCCCCTGTCAAATTCATTTTTCATTACTGTAGGTGATGCAAATTGAATGCAGAACTCCTGGAGTCTTGACCAGTGCCTTTTCCAGAGAG